GCTGTAGCCACATGGTCAGCTGTAGCCACATGGTCAGCTGTAGCCACATGTTCAGCTGTAGCCACATGTTCAGCTGTAGCCACAAGCTGTAGCCACGTGGTCAGCTGTAGCCACATGGTCAGCTGTAGCTACATGGTCAGTTGTAGCCACATGGTCAGCTGTAGCCAGAAGCTGTAGCCACATGGTCAGCTGTAACCACATGGTCAGTTGTAGCCACATGGTTAGCTGTAGCCACAAGCTGTAGCCACATGGTCAGCTGTAGCCACAAGCTGTAGCCACAAGCTGTAGCCACAAGCTGTAGCCACAAGCTGTAGCCACATGGTCAGCTGTAGCCACAAGCTGTAGCCACATGGTCAGCTGTAGCCACAAGGTCAGCTGTAGCCACATGGTCAGCTGTAGCCACATGGTCAGCTGTAGCCACAAGCTGTAGCCACAAGCTGTAGCCACAAGGTCAGCTGTAGCCACATGGTCAGCTGTAGCCACAAGCTGTAGCCACAAGCTGTAGCCACATGGTCAGCTGTAGCCACATGGTCAGCTGTAGCCACATGGTCAGCTGTAGCCACAAGCTGTAGCCACAAGCTGTAGCCACAAGGTCAGCTGTAGCCACATGGTCAGCTGTAGCCACAAGCTGTAGCCGCAAGCTGTAGTCACATGTTCAGCTGTAGCCACAAGCTGTAGCCACAAGCTGTAGCCACAAGCTGTAGCCACAAGCTGTAGCCACATGGTCAGCTGTAGCCACAAGCTGTAGCCACATGTTCAGCTGTAGCCACAAGCTGTAGCCACAAGCTGTAGCCACAAGCTGACGCCACATGGTCAGCTGTAGCCACAAGCTGTAGCCACAAGCTGTAGCCACATAGTCAGCTGTAGCCACAAGCTGTAGCCACATGGTCAGCTGTAGCCACATGGTCAGCTGTAGCCACAAGCTGTAGCCACATGGTCAGCTGTAGCCACATGGTCAGCTGTAGCCACAAGCTGTAGCCACAAGCTGTAGCCACAAGCTGTAGCCACATGGTCAGCTGTAGCCACAAGCTGTAGCCACATGGTCAGCTGTAGCCACATGGTCAGCTGTAGCCACATGGTCAGCTGTAGCCACATGTTCAGCTGTAGCCACATGGTCAGCTGTAGCCACAAGCTGTAGCCACAAGCTGTAGCCACAAGCTGTAGCCACATGGTCAGCTGTAGCCACATGGTCAGCTGTAGCCACATGGTCAGCTGTAGCCACATGGTCAGCTGTAGCCACAAGCTGTAGCCACAAGCTGTAGCCACAAGCTGTAGCCACATGGTCAGCTGTAGCCACATGGTCAGCTGTAGCCACATGGTCAGCTGTAGCCACAAGCTGTAGCCACAAGCTGTAGCCACAAGCTGTAGCCACATGGTCAGCTGTAGCCACAAGCTGTAGCCACAAGCTGTAGCCACATGGTCAGCTGTAGCCACAAGCTGTAGCCACAAGCTGTAGCCACAAGCTGTAGCCACAAGCTGTAGCCACAAGCTGTAGCCACAAGCTGACGCCACATGGTCAGCTGTAGCCACAAGCTGTAGCCACAAGCTGTAGCCACATGGTCAGCTGTAGCCACAAGCTGTAGCCACATGGTCAGCTGTAGCCACAAGCTGTAGCCACAAGCTGTAGCCACATGGTCAGCTGTAGCCACAAGCTGTAGCTACATGGTCAGCTGTAGCCACATGTTCAGCTGTAGCCACAAGCTGTAGCCACATGGTCAGCTGTAGCCACATGGTCAGCTGTAGCCACATGTTCAGCTGTAGCCACAAGCTGTAGCCACATGGTCAGCTGTAGCCACATGGTCAGCTGTAGCCACATGGTCAGCTGTAGCCACATGGTCAGCTGTAGCCACATGGTCAGCTGTAGCCACAAGCTGTAGCCACAAGCTGTAGCCACACGGTCAGCTGTAGCCACACGCTGTAGCCACAAGGTCAGCTGTAGCCACAAGCTGTAGCCACAAGCTGTAGCCCCACGGTCAGCTGTAGCCACAAGCTGTAGCCACATGTTCAGCTGTAGCCACGAGCTGTAGCCACATGGTCAGCTGTAGCCACATGGTCAGCTGTAGCCACACGGTCAGCTGTAGCCACAAGCTGTAGCCACAAGCTGTAGCCACAAGCTGTAGCCACATGGTCAGCTGTAGCCACAAGCTGTAGCCACGTGGTCAGCTGTAGCCACATGGTCAGCTGTAGCCACATGGTCAGCTGTAGCCACATGGTCAGCTGTAGCCACAAGCTGTAGCCACATGCTGTAGCCACATGGTCAGCTGTAGCCACATGGTCAGCTGTAGCCAGAAGCTGTAGCCACATGGTCAGCTGTAGCCACATGGTCAGCTGTAGCCACATGGTTAGCTGTAGCCAGAAGCTGTAGCCACATGGTCAGCTGTAGCCACATTGTCAGCTGTAGCCACATGGTCAGCTGTAGCCAGAAGCTGTAGCCACATGGTCAGCTGTAGCCACATGGTCAGCTGTAGCCACATGGTCAGCTGTAGCCACATGGTTAGCTGTAGCCACATGGTCAGCTGTAGCCACATGGTCAGCTGTAGCCACAAGCTGTAGCCACATGGTCAGCTGTAGCCACAAGCTGTAGCCACATGGTCAGCTGTAGCCACAAGCTGTAGCCACATGGTTAGCTGTAGCCACAAGCTGTAGCCACATGGTCAGCTGTAGCCACAAGCTGTAGCCACAAGCTGTAGCCACATGGTTAGCTGTAGCCACAAGCTGTAGCCACAAGCTGTAGCCACAAGCTGTAGCCACAAGCTGTAGCCACAACCCTAACCCTAACCCTAGCCGCATGCTGTAATACATTAACGTGAACATCTCTATTATCAAAACTTAATTTGACATACAGAATTAAAGCTCTCAGTTTGGTTATTCTTAAAAATATGGACTAGTTGAAATAACATTGAGATAACTTGCCTCCCATTAAAGATGACTTAAAATGCGCTCCTATCACAAGAGTGAAATCGATAGCCCAGAATCAATATATTCATTGATGTGTAACTGATGATTACAGAATCAATATATTCTCTGGCGTGTAACAGATATGTACAAAAACAACAATTTCATGGTTGGCTTATTCCGTGCCTATAGTCCACTTCAAACGAAATAGGGGCTGAATGGAATTTTAGGGATCACAAGCTTATCACTAAGCAAATAAAATAAAGCGGGAGTTATCTCTCCTAATCTTTCTAGTACATTATTACTAGCCGTACCGGCCAGGCCTTGCACTGGCCTATGTGAAAAGCCTATCTGTAAAGGACCATGACATGTGTGTTTTGTAATCAGCATATACCAGGCATTGCCCACCCTAACCACAACCAACCAAAACCAAAACACACAAAAACAAACGCAAACACATACCCAACAACAAACACAAACAAAAAGAAAACACAAACAAAAAAGCAAACTAAAACAAACCCAAATCCAAACGCAAACACAAAACACAACCACAACGCAAACTCAAAGCCAAACACAAAGAAAACACAAACGAAAACATAAACGCAAACATAAACGCAAAGTCAAAATTTGTCGAACTCTCGATTTAGATTTTTGCACGATTGCACTGCATCCTTTAAATTCCATTTATACGATACAGCGAGGAAGTGTAAAACGGCGAAAACTATTTTAAAATTTCATTTAACTTTTCTGCGCGATTACAATTTCTCTATACTCTGTTTACGAGAAAGTAAAAATGTAGAAAATAAATATAAATTTTGAGAAAGTAAAAATTAAAAAAAAAATAGAAATACAATTATAAAAATAGAAATAAAACTTGAGCGCTCACTTATAGGGAATATATTCCCTTCCACGGGGAGTTTATTGATTTGTTTGCGTTGAATAACATAAAATAAAACCTATGATAAATTTCTTCATTGAGCAGCCAAGTTTTTGTTTTTTGTCGTACCATTGTAAATATATCTGAAGTACAGTTACAGCATAAGTAATTTTTTTTTTTACATTTTTACTTTTTAGTGGATTTTTTTTTCTTTGGTGCGCATTGTGAATTTTAACAGGGAAAAAAGCGTTTTTCCTTATTTTATTTAAAAATGCTCGTTGAAAATGGGGTGGGCGAGGGGGGGGGGTGGGTGCGAGTCTTCTCTAACGACGGCATCCAAAAACAGTTTGTCGTGTTGTCTAAAAGTGCAAGGGGCATTGAGTAGACGATCGACTGAGTATTCACTGCTGCAAAAGTCACCCGCTTCGGTGTTAGCTGTAGATAGTAGTTAAGTTACAGATATAGGGTGTTAGCTGTAGATAGCAGTTAAGTTAGAGATATAGGGTGTTAGCTGTAGATAGTAGTTAAGTTAGAGATATAGGGTGTTAGCTGTAGATAGCAGTTAAGTTAGAGATATAGGGTGTTAGCTGTAGATAGCAGTTAAGATACAGATATAGTGTGTTAGCTGTAGATAGTAGTTAAGTTAGAGATATAGGGTGTTAGCTGTAGATAAGGTTAAGTTAGAGATATAGGGTGTTAGCTGTAGATAGCAGTTAAGTTAGAGATATAGGGTGTTAGCTGTAGATAGCAGTTAAGATACAGATATAGTGTGTTAGCTGTAGATAGTAGTTAAGTTACAGATATAGGGTGTTAGCTGTAGATAGTAGTTAAGTTAGAGATATAGGGTGTTAGCTGTAGATAGCAGTTAAGTTAGAGATATAGGGTGTTAGCTGTAGATAGTAGTTAAGTTAGAGATATAAGGTGCTGGCTGTAGATAGCAGTTGATTCAGTTAGGAGGCATCCATTTTTGACATCCACACGCGGGGGGGGGGGGGGGGGGGTCCGAAAAAAATTGTCTTTTGTGGACGTGCATGGACTTATATAAGGTAAAAAGTGGATTTTTGTGGACGGGGGGGGGGGGGGGGCTGTCCAAGATCTAAAAAAATTGTGGACGTCATAAATGGATGACCCCTTAGAGATATAGGGTGTTAGATGTAGATAGCAGTTACGTTAACCTTTTACACGTCCCTAACGCTAACCATATTTTACCTTTTCTACCATTTCCCAGACACCCAAAGCTAACCTTGACTAATGGAGTCAAAATATGACACGCAAGGTCACAGAACGACCCAGGCTCTTGCTATTTTTAGACCAAGATCTGGAGTGACGTCACCAAGTCATAGCTGCCAGTTGTCTTTAAGCGATAGCTTCGTATCTCAGTCTACCAGTATTGGTCACGTGACAAGAACCACGGCAACACTAGACAGTTTCAGTAGTCTGTCTTCAACGGAAACCGACCTTTGTCCAGTAACTAGTCAGGTTCGTTTCAAAACAAGAGGAATACATGCAGGGGCGGAACTACAGTGCCGCCAGACCCCGCAATGCGGGGGGGGGGGGGGGGGGCACGCCATTTAGGGGCCCACATCCGACCAAAATAATTTTTTTATATTAAAAAAAAATAATTTCCTTGCTTTTTTGACTTGATGGTTGTTTTGTAAAAAAGATTACCGTAGCTTCTATAGACACCATCCCACGCTCTTGTATATTTTTACCTTTTTTTTTTTTTTAAACAACTGTGATAGCCAAGTCCTCTTTCTCCTACAATCAAACTTATCAAAGCTAAGCAAACGTTCAAACCACTTCCATGACTTATTTCCCCTTTTTAAATAGTCAAATAAGTGTGCTCATAAGCTCCTTTTAATAGATTTGTACTAAACAAAATAAAAAGCAATTACTTCTCTTAATTATTTTTTTGAAAAAAGTACTTATTAATAAATGACATTGTATAAAAAGGAAATGAATTTAAAATTAATAATATAAATTCGAAAAAAACATGAAAATAAACATAACACGAGACACCATAACTTACATACAAAGCTTTCATGGTTTTTTATATTTTTTTGAACTACTAGAGGTTAAGAGGTAATATAGCAAAGATAAAATAAAACTGATTTTTACAAAACTCACTAATGCCCTTACACACATGACATGATATTGTAATTTGTTTTAATTGAAAAAACCCCCACATTTTTTTCATAACCCGAACAGGCTAACAATAAATAACCTATGTTCGTATGTCGTGTTTGTATAAATAAATAAATAAATAAATAAATAGATATATATATATACATATATATATACACACAAATATATATATATATATATATATATATATATATATATATATATATATATATATATATATATATATATATATATATATATATATATATATATATATATATATGTGGGGGGGGGGGGGCTAAAAACTTTTTTTGCGGGGTGGCCCTTTTTTTCTAGTTCCGCCACTGAATACATGTAACAAACGTAAATAGTACATAGGTTTAAAAAATTCAATACATGTAACAAACGTAAATAGTACATAGGTTTAAAACATTCAATACATGTAACAAACGTAAATAGTACATAGGTTTAAAACATTCAATACATGTAACAAACGTATATAGTACATAGGTTTAAAACATTCAATACTTGTAACAAACGTAAATAGTACATAGGTTTAAAACATTCAATACTTGTAACAAACGTAAATAGTACATAGGTTTAAAAAATTCAATACATGTAACAAACGTAAATAGTACATAGGTTTAAAAAATTCAATACATGTAACAAACGTAAATAGTACATAGGTTTAAAACATTCAATACATGTAACAAACGTAAATAGAACATAGGTTTAAAACATTCAATACATGTAACAAACGTAAATAGTACATAGGTTTAAAACATTCAATACATGTAACAAACGTATATAGAACATAGGTTTAAAACATTCAATACATGTAACAAACGTAAATAGTACATAGGTTTAAAACATTCAATACATGTAACAAACGTAAATAGTACATAGGTTTAAAACATTCAATACATGTAACAAACGTAAATAGTACATAGGTTTAAAACATTCAATACATGTAACAAACGTAAATAGTACATCCTAACCCTAACCCTAACCCTAACCCTAACCCTAGCCGTGCAATAATTACCTGTAAGTAATACATAATAGAAATATACCGTCATGTGCGTCAACTAGCCGTGCAATAATTACCTGTAAGTAATACATAATAGAAATATACCGTCATGTGCGTCAACTAGCCGTGCAATAATTACCGGTAAGTGTAAGTAATACATAATAGAAATATACCGTCATGTGCGTCAACTAGCCGTGCAATAATTACCTGTAAGTAATACATAATAGAAATATACCGTCATGTGCGTCAACTAGCCGTGCAATAATTACCCGTAAGTAATACATAATAGAAATATACCGTCATGTGCGTCAACTAGAATTGCAATAATTACCTGTAATACATAATAGAAATATACCGTCATGTGCGTCAACTAGAAGTGCAATAATTACCTGTAATACATAATAGAAATATACCGTCATGTGCGTCAACTAGCCGTGCAATAATTACCTGTAAGTAATACATAATAGAAATATACCGTCATGTGCGTCAACTAGAAGTGCAATAATTACCTGTAATACATAATAGAAATATACCGTCATGTGCGTCAACTAGAAGTGCAATAATTACCTGTAATATATAATAGAAATATACCGTCATGTGCGTCAACTAAAAGTGCAATAATTACCTGTAAGTAATACATAATAGAAATATACCGTCATGTGCGTCAACTAGAATTGCAATAATTACCTGTAATACATAATAGAAATATACCGTCATGTGCGTCAACTAGCCGTGCAATAATTACCTGTAAGTAATACATAATAGAAATATACCGTCATGTGCGTCAACTAGCCGTGCAATAATTACCGGTAAGTAATACATAATAGAAATATACCGTCATGTGCGTCAACTAGAATTGCAATAATTACCTGTAATACATAATAGAAATATACCGTCATGTGCGTCAACTAGAAGTGCAATAATTACCTGTAATACATAATAGAAATATACCGTCATGTGCGTCAACTAGCCGTGCAATAATTACCTGTAAGTAATACATAATAGAAATATACCGTCATGTGCGTCAACTAGAAGTGCAATAATTACCTGTAATACATAATAGAAATATACCGTCATGTGCGTCAACTAGAAGTGCAATAATTACCTGTAATACATAATAGAAATATACCGTCATGTGCGTCAACTAGCCGTGCAATAATTACCCGTAAGTAATACATAATAGAAATATACCGTCATGTGCGTCAACTAGAAGTGCAATAATTACCTGTAAGTAATACATAATAGAAATATACCGTCATGTGCGTCAACTAGAAGTGCAATAATTACCTGTAATACATAATAGAAATATACCGTCATGTGCGTCAACTAGCCGTGCAATAATTACCTGTAAGTAATACATAATAGAAATATACCGTCATGTGCGTCAACTAGAAGTGCAATAATTACCTGTAAGTAATACATAATAGAAATATACCGTCATGTGCGTCAACTAGAAGTGCAATAATTACCTGTAATACATAATAGAAATATACCGTCATGTGCGTCAACTAGAAGTGCAATAATTACCTGTAATACATAATAGAAATATACCGTCATGTGCGTCAACTAGCCGTGCAATAATTACCCGTAAGTAATACATAATAGAAATATACCGTCATGTGCGTCAACTAGAAGTGCAATAATTACCTGTAATACATAATAGAAATATACCGTCATGTGCGTCAACTAGAAGTGCAATAATTACATGTAATATATAATAGAAATATACCGTCATGTGCGTCAACTAGAAGTGCAATAATTACCTGTAATACATAATAGAAATATACCGTCATGTGCGTCAACTAGCCGTGCAATAATTACCTGTAAGTAATACATAATAGAAATATACCGTCATGTGCGTCAACTAGAAGTGCAATAATTACCTGTAATACATAATAGAAATATACCGTCATGTGCGTCAACTAGAAGTGCAATAATTACCTGTAATACATAATAGAAATATACCGTCATGTGCGTCAACTAGAAGTGCAATAATTACCTGTAATACATAATAGAAATATACCGTCATGTGCGTCAACTAGCCGTGCAATAATTACCCGTAAGTAATACATAATAGAAATATACCGTCATGTGCGTCAACTAGCCGTGCAATAATTACCTGTAAGTAATACATAATAGAAATATACCGTCATGTGCGTCAACTAGAAGTGCAATAATTACCTGTAATACATAATAGAAATATACCGTCATGTGCGTCAACTAGAAGTGCAATAATTACCTGTAATACATAATAGAAATATACCGTCATGTGCGTCAACTAGGTCATGCATTAAAAAAATTTATTCTCATTGCCAGGTTACACTAAATTCTTCCCTAGTCAAAAGCAGTGAAATTAACGAGAGCCCAACAGAAGAGAAGACAAGGAGAAGACAACCCAAACTAGCCAGACCAGTTTCTCGTTGCCCCGAGGTAACGTGTTACTTCCCTTATTGACACTTCAACAATAAAACAGTCGAAAGAAAAACCTTTCACTTAACAGCTTTAGAAATGTTGTCATGTTTTTCTATTTGAACTTTGCTATTGGGTCTAACACTAACATTGCTAACGCTAATTATTTTTTAAAATCTCTTGTGTAATAAACATGTTGATTTGGTAATTATTTGTTTTGTGTGTATTAAATAGGTTGTTTTGGAAATTATTATTTTTTTGTGTAATAAATACGTTGTTTTGGTAATTATTTGTTTTGTGTGTATTAAATACGTTGTTTTTGAAATTATGTGTTTTTTTGTGTGTAATAAATACGTTGTTTTTGGTAATTATTTGTTTTGTGTGTATTAAATACGTTGTTTTTGAAATTATTTGGTTTTTTTTGTGTAATAAATACGTTGTTTTGGTAATTATTTGTTTTGTGTGTATTAAATACGTTGTTTTTTAAATTATTTGGGGTTTTTTTTTGTGTAATAAATACGTTTTTTTGGTAATTATTTGTTTTTTTGTGTATTTAATACGTTGTTTTGGAAATTATTTGTTTTGTGTGTATTAAATACGGTGTTTTGGACATTATTTGTTTTTTTTTGTGTGTAATAAATACGTTGTTTTAATAATTATTTGTTTCGTGTGTATTCAATACGTTGTTTTGGAAATTATTTGTTTTTTTGTGTAATAAATACGTTGTTTTGGTAATTATTTGTTTTTTTGTGTAATAAATACGTTGTTTTGGAAATTATTTGTTTTTTGTGTGTATTAAATACGTTGTTTTTTAAATAATTTGTTTATTGTGTGTAATAAACAGGTTGCATTTGACCCCAGTGAGATCTCGAACGAAAAACAACGCCTTATTGTCTCACCAAAACATTCAAGTTCTTTTCCTGTGTTGAAAAAATTCTCTGTCACTACACCGTCCTACAATGCCGTGTTGGCTTCAGATTTACAACACATGATGAATACGGTTTATCATAGAAAAAGCGATAGTATGGTGTTTCACGCTTGTCAAGTTCCACCAAACAGCACACTAGTCACTAGCAACTCTTTCTTCAAACAAATCAGTAAGTTTGGATTATGTTGTGGTAGGTTTAGTTTAATACTTATATCCAGAGGAGTAGCGACCCATTCCGGCGCCCCAGGCGGCCACACCACTCGCCCTCCCCTAGCTTCGCCTCTGCTTATATCCTAATGTGATTAAGGTGTAAAAGAAAAGCAATGGTTGTTATGTTCACTCTAATCTTTATGATTTAACTCTAAACTAGGCGAGAAACTGAGAGTAAAATCGAGAAAAGATGGAACGGCTGCAAGTCTGAGATCATTTGATCTAAACCCTAACGCCAAACACCAACACACTCAAGCAACAATCAATACTAGGTAGTATGTTATTTAGTCATAACTTAGTTAAAATAAATCTAACGTTTGGTCATTAGTGGTGTCACACTCTGGTAGACTAATGGTGTCGTACTAGTAGACTAATGGTGTCACACTCTGGTAGACTAATGGTGTCACACTCTGATAGACTAATGGTGTCACACTCTGGTAGACTAATGGTGTCACACTCTGGTAGACTAATGGTGTCACACTCTGGTAGACTAATGGTGTCACACTCTGGTAGACTAATGGTGTCACACTCTGGTAGATTAATGGTGTCACACTCTGGTAGATTAATGGTGTCACACTCTGATAGACTAATGGTGTCACACTCTGGTAGACTAATGGTGTCACACTCTGGTAGACTAATGGTGTCACACTCTGGTAGACTAATGGTGTCACACTCTGGTAGACTAATGGTGTCACACTCTGGTAGACTAATGGTGTCACACTCTGGTAGACTAATGGTGTCACACTCTGGTAGACTAATGGTGTCACACTCTGATAGACTAATGGTGTCACACTCTGGTAGACTAATGGTGTCACACTCTGGTAGACTAATGGTGTCACACTCTGGTAGACTAATGGTGTCACACTCTGGTAGACTAGTGGTGTCACACTCTGGTAGACTAATGGTGTCACACTCTGATAGACTAATGGTGTCACACTCTGGTAGACTAATGGTGTCACACTCTGGTAGACTAATGGTGTCACACTCTGATAGACTAATGGTGTCGTACTAGTAGACTAATGGTGTCACACTCTGGTAGACTAATGGTGTCACACTCTAGTAGACTAATGGTGTCGTACTAGTAGACTAATGGTGTCACACTCTGATAGACTAGTGGTGTCACACTCTGGTAGACTAATGGTGTCACACTCTAGTAGACTAATGGTGTCGTACTAGTAGACTAATGGTGTCACACTCTAGTAGACTAATGGTGTCACACTCTGGTAGACTAATGGTGTCACACTCTAGTAGACTAATGGTGTCGTACTAGTAGACTAATGGTGTCACACTCTGATAGACTAGTGGTGTCACACTCTGGTAGACTAATGGTGTCACATTCTAGTAGACTAATGGTGTCACACTCTGGTAGACTAATGGTGTCACACTCTGGTAGACTAATGGTGTCACACTCTGGTAGACTAATGGTGTCACACTCTGATAGACTAATGGTGTCACACTCTAGTAGACTAATGGTGTCACACTCTGGTAGACTAATGGTGTCACACTCTGGTAGACTAATGGTGTCACACTCTGGTAGACTAATGGTGTCACACTCTGATAGACTAATGGTGTCACACTCTGATAGACTAGTGGTGTCACACTCTGGTAGACTAATGGTGTCACACTCTGGTAGACTAATGGTGTCACACTCTGGAAGACTAATGGTGTCACACTCTGGTAGATTAATGGTGTCACACTCTGGTAGAATAATGGTGTCACACTCTGGTAGACTAATGGTGTCACACTCTGGTAGACTAATGGTGTCACACTCTGGTAGACTAATGGTGTCACACTCTGATAGACTAATGGTGTCACACTCTGGTAGACTAATGGTGTCACACTCTGGTAGACTAATGGTGTCACACTCTGCTAGACTAATGGTGTCACACTCTGATAGACTAATGGTGTCACACTCTGATAGACTAATGGTGTCACACTCTGGTAGACTAATGGTGTCACACTCTGGTAGACTAATGGTGTCACACTCTGATAGACTAATGGTGTCACACTCTGGTAGACTAATGGTGTCACACTCTGGTAGACTAATGGTGTCACACTCTGGTAGACTAATGGTGTCACACTCTGGTAGACTAATGGTGTCACACTCTGGTAGACTAATGGTGTCAAACTCTGATAGACTAATGGTGTCACACTCTAGTAGACTAATGGTGTCACACTCTGGTAGAATAATGGTGTCACACTCTGGTAGACTAATGGTGTCACACTCTGGTAGACTAATGGTGTCACACTCTGATAGACTAATGGTGTCACACTCTGGTAGACTAATGGTGTCACCTTCTGATAGACTAATGGTGTCACACTCTGGTAGACTAATGGTGTCACACTCTGGTAGACTAATGGTGTCACACTCTGGTAGACTAATGGTGTCACACTCTGATAGACTAATGGTGTCACACTCTAGTAGACTAATGGTGTCACACTCTGTTAGAATAATGGTGTCACACTCTGGTAGACTAATGGTGTCACACTCTGGTAGATTAATGGTGTCACACTCTGGTAGACTAATGGTGTCACACTCTGATAGACTAGTGGTGTCACACTCTGGTAGACTAATGGTGTCACACTCTGGTAGACTAATGGTGTCGTACTAGTAGACTAATGGTGTCACACTCTGATAGACTAATGGTGTCACACTCTGGTAGATTAATGGTGTCACACTCTGGTAGACTAATGGTGTCACACTCTGGTAGACTAATGGTGTCACACTCTGGTAGACTAATGGTGTCACACTCTGGTAGACTAATGGTGTCACACTCTGGTAGATTAATGGTGTCACACTCTGGTAGAATAATGGTGTCACACTCTGGTAGACTAATGGTGTCACACTCTGGTAGACTAATGGTGTCACACTCTGGTAGACTAATGGTGTCACACTCTGGTAGACTAATGGTGTCACACTCTGGTAGACTAATGGTGTCACACTCTGGTAGACTAATGGTGTCACACTCTGGTAGACTAATGGTGTCACACTCTGGTAGACTAATGGTGTCACACTCTGGTAGACTAATGGTGTCACACTCTGGTAGACTAATGGTGTCACACTCTGGTAGACTAATGGTGTCACACTCTGGTAGACTAATGGTGTCACACTCTGGTAGATTAATGGTGTCACACTCTGGTAGAATAATGGTGTCACACTCTGATAGACTAATGGTGTCACACTCTGGTAGACTAATGGTGTCACACTCTGGTAGACTAATGGTGTCACACTCTGGTTGACTAATGGTGTCACACTCTGGTAGACTAATGGTGTCGTACTAGTAGATTAATGGTGTCGTACTAGTAGATTAATGGTGTCACATTCTGGTAGACTAATGGTGTCACACTCTGGTAGACTAATGGTGTCACACTCTGGTAGACTAATGGTGTCGTACTAGTAGACTAATGGTGTCACACTCTGGTAGACTAATGGTGTCACACTCTGGTAGACTAATGGTGTCACACTCTGATAGACTAATGGTGTCACACTCTGGTAGACTAATGGTGTCACACTCTGGTAGACTAATGGTGTCACACTCTATTAGACTAATGGTGTCACACTCTGGTAGACTAATGGTGTCACACTCTGATAGACTAATGGTGTCACACTCTGGTAGACTAATGGTGTCACACTCTGGTAGACTAATGGTGTCACACTCTGGTAGACTAATGGTGTCACACTCTAGTAGACTAATGGTGTCACACTCTAGTAGACTAATGGTGTCACACTCTGGTAGACTAATGGTGTCACACTCTGGTAGACTAATGGTTTCACACTCTAGTAGACTAATGGTGTCACACTCTGGTAGACTAATGGTGTCACACTCTAGTAGACTAATGGTGTCACACTCTAGTAGACTAATGGTGTCACACTCTGGTAGACTAATGGTGTCACACTCTGGTAGACTAATGGTGTCACACTCTGGTAGACTAATGGTGTCACACTCTGGTAGACTAATGGTGTCACACTCTGGTAGACTAATGGTGTCACACTCTGGTAGACTAATGGTGTCACACTCTGGTAGATTAATGGTGTCACACTCTGGTAGACTAATGGTGTCACACTCTAGTAGACTAATGGTGTCGTACTAGTAGACTAATGGTGTCACACTCTGATAGACTAATGGTGTCACACTCTGATAGACTAATGGTGGCACACTCTGATAGACTAATGGTGTCACACTCTGATAGACTAATGGTGTCACACTCTGGTAGACTAATGGTGTCACACTCTGGTAGACTAATGGTGTCGTACTAGTAGATTAATGGTGTCACACTCTGATAGACTAATGGTGTCACACTCTAGTAGATTAATGGTGTCACACTCTGGTAGACTAATGGTGTCACACTCTGGTAGACTAATGGTGTCACACTCTGGTAGACTAATGGTGTCACACTCTAGTAGACTAATGGTGTCGTACTAGTAGACTAATGGTGTCACACTCTGACAGACTAATGGTGTCACACTCTGATAGACTAATGGTGTCACACTCTGATAGACTAATGGTGTCACACTCTGATAGACTAATGGTGTCACACTCTGGTAGACTAATGGTGTCACACTCTGGTAGACTAATGGTGTCACACTCTAGTAGACTAATGGTGTCACACTCTGATAGACTAATGGTGTCACACTCTGGTAGACTAATGGTGTCACACTCTGATAGACTAATGGTGTCACACTCTGGTAGACTAATGGTGTCACACTCTGATAGACTAATGGTGTCACACTCTGATAGACGAATGGTGTCACACTCTGGTAGACTAATGGTGTCGTACTAGTAGATTAATGGTGTCACACTCTGATAGACTAATGGTGTCACACTCTAGTAGATTAATGGTGTCACACTCTGATAGACTAATGGTGTCACACTCTGGTAGACTAATGGTGTCACACTCTGGTAGACTAATGGTGTCACACTCTGGTAGACTAATGGTGTCACACTCTGGTAGACTAATGGTGTCACACTCTGATAGACTATTGGTGTCACACTCTGGTAGACTAATGGTGTCACACTCTGGTAGACTAATGTTGTCACACTCTGGTAGACTAATGGTGTCGTACTAGTAGATTAATGGTGTCACACTCTGATAGACTAATGGTGTCACACTCTAGTAGATTAATGGTGTCACACTCTGATAGACTAATGGTGTCACACTCTGGTAGACTAATGGTGTCACACTCTGGTAGATTAATGGTGTCACACTCTGGAAGACTAATGGTGTCACACTCTGGTAGACTAATGGTGTCACACTCTGGTAGACTAATGGT